CGTGTGTTTTTGTACAAGAAAGAACATTATTTGATCATAGTTCCTTAATGCTCTGCCAACTATGTATTTGACATAAGCACACATTTATGTAATGTCACCTTTTTATTGTGTGTATTGCAGAAACACCACTGGACTGTGAGGTTTCACAATGGTCTTCCTGGGGTCTCTGTAGAGGTATTTGCAGAAAGACAGGGACCAAGATCAGAACTCGTTTTGTACTTCTTCAACCTGCCAACAATGGAATGCCTTGTCCAAATCTGGATGAAGAAATAGGATGTGAACCAGAGAATTGTATCTGAAATAAAGAAAAGATAATAACTTAGTTAATTTAAAAGTAGAATAAGTTTAACTAAATCTCAACTACATGTCAATCAATGTTCTTTATAATTCGGGTATGCTGCACTATTTTGCTGAAAAGGTATATTAGATTGATTTTGAAAGCTGTTGTTTAATATCAAGATTTTGAAGGGTTAAATTCCTAAGGTTTAGTGTGACAAAAGTACTTGATCATTTACAGACCAAAAACCCCAAAGAAATCCTTGCTATAAATATACTGTAAATTCTTGGAGTACCCTCTAGTGGCAGAAAAGAAGACATTTGGAAAGATTATACTTTACACATGAAAAAATCTTTCAGTCACAAAATATAAACTATAACGTTCTTAAATACTATAATTTGTTGATCTACAGCTATTTATACCTAGACATTAATTTTGTCTCTAAATTATGTTTTTTATAATTTATTGGCATTGTTGTAGTCTTTCTATATGATGTGTTTAACATGTATTTCTTCAGAAACTACCTACATAAATCAGAATGATCAGATGTTTGCAGTGTGGTTAAGACAATATTATAACTGAGTAAACTTGTCTTGAGACTTAGGAATATATGAAAATGTCTTTTTCTCTCAAGAATGAGAAGAATATCTGTTATGAGGACATCGGCCAACAAAATTGCTAGAAAAATCAGATGTGTGGATACTAGTAGATAACCTCTGAACTTAATTAAAAGTGTTATCTGAGATTTAAAACCTAACTGACTGTTGGTGTGTGTCCCTTATAAGACAACTCTCTCAAAGTTAACACCCTTGACCATACCATAAATTACATCATCTTTATATATGCAGTAAACGTGTCCTTGTTTCTTTAAGTGTTTGCTGCTATTTGTGTCATCCTAATCTTACCAGTGTTATAATATTATCTAAAATTAAGGTATACACAGATATAACAAACACAGTATGTCTGAAAATGTTCCTGACTGCAAATTTTAATGCTCAAATAACTGTTACACGATGAATGTAACATATGGCTTATAAAGGGTTGTGGTTAACAATGAGGAAAAGAATTTTGGAATAGCTGTTCAATAGAATATGTTTACAGTCAGGCCACAAAACTTTTACAGCACACTGCAATTTTATATACATATATACATATACAGCACAGATATTGAACAGGAGAGTTGATTTGAGTTGGTTCTTTTTGGAATATGCCAATATTAGAAAATGTATTATGTATTTAAAGGAGCACATTGGATCCTCTGCAGGGCTGAAACCTGTAAAAGGTTCTCTCTATATCTTTTTTTTTTTTTCAGGAGATAAGTCTTGCAAAGACCCGAAGAAATTTGAAACTTTATCAGACTAGACTAAGTTGGTCCTGCACATGCTGATAAACACACAGTTGTTAGAGCTAAGTATAGGAACTTATGCATCATGCATTCTTCAGATTCCCACTGCTGCCTGGTTTTCAAAATGGTTTCACTTACTTTTTATTATACCTATTTTTTTTTTTTTCAGGCTCCTGTTTCCATTCTAAAATGGAAATAGTTTTACTGCACTATCATTTTCATATTTTGTGTTTAGTTAATTTCTCCACCTTTTCAATTTTTTTCTTTTTATATTAATTTTACTCATTGTATGTTTTCTTTGCTGTTAGATTTGTTTACTATATAGTTAAATAGTTATCACCATCTCAGAAAACATAAGCATTGCCATGTTTTTACTGTATACATGACCAGAATTTAGGATCTTAGTTCTGCAAAACATGATTTAATAGTGGATCAGTCCCAGTGGTTACTTTACCCCTGAAGCCACATGTTTCCCAAAGGACAGTGAAAGAGAAGGAGTGAGAAGGGGGGGTGGAGTAGAAAGGGAATTGAATATGAAAAAAAACAACATACTTCAGGAAAGTCCAGTTAGTGATAAATAACTTTTCTGGTTTAGAGTTTTTACATACATGAATAATCCTTCAAGCAGAAGTTTCCTGTCCAGTCAGTTACCTGATATGGGATTTTTGTAAGCAGTGGCTATGGGAGACCTTGGTAAATATGGCATTAAGGATGCCCTTGTGGCTGTATCATGTTTGGCCATAAATACAGTTCCAGGTATTGCCTTTGCAAACATTAGAGATAGAGACATTTTTTGGTAAGAATGTGGATGCAGTGAGTTCTACTGAAACACATTCTAATGATGGAGACATTTCTTATAACACTTCTCAAACTGATTGATGAGATACGTGATCCCTGTGTGAATATGGATAGACCTTTGTAACTTTTGCTTTCAGCATAGTTTTGGATTTGTCTTAAAATATTTGGGACAGTGAAGAAACACTGAGAAGCTCTTCCTTTTCCTTTCCATTCAGTGTTACAGATGGCTGGCAGCCAAGACACTGTGGTCCTAAATACATGAGATTTAGGGAAGGAAATAGGTAAATTAATTCCTGGGTTAAACTAATCTCAGAAAACACTCTGGGAGGAAATTTGAAATAGCTTTGTAAAGACAATTTTATTAGCAAGAATGTTTTGTAGGAAGAATCAGTTTTGATGCCTTGGCAGATATTCTTGTAGAATGGAAGAGATGGTTAAAGGTAAGTGTAGCAGCAAAAAAGTCACCATAGACTTGAACTGTGGTCCTACCATAAACTACAAATTGAGTTTGTGTAGTGGAATAGGGTACTTCATTACTGAGAACAACTTGTCCAGTACCTTAAGGAGTTTAAGGTCAGCTAGCTGTGAACACATGAAAGATCTTCCTATTGTCTTGTGGTTGCTAGGAATGCCAGATGAAGCTGCATATATATTTGTGTTTTTTACAGGCTGGGGCTTCTCTGTGAACATCTAATACAGCAGCTTGGTGGTTAATGCTGAGAAAAATACAGGACAATATTGTAGATAAGTCACAGTACAGGGAGGACTGATGTGATCTATGAACGGAACTGAACTGAATAGAAAAGCTGGTACCATGCAATAAAAGTCACCTGCTTGAGACTTAGGTAATCTAAAGGAGAGGTCAGACATATTGTTCTACCAGCTTCTTTAAAATGATTGGGATGGATGCCCAGTATGTGTGTGTGTGACAAACAAACTTACTAACTGCTGCTTGAGGCCCTGTTCCATTTTCCTAAGTAAATTTGTGTTCCCACAACTGAGAAGCTCTATCAGAGGGCCACCTCTGTACTATATAAGCGTACAGTATAAATGGGCCAGCTCTATCCAATCAATCTTGTCCACCAAGTTGCAACTTGGGGAGGGAGAGTCTTGGGTTCATTGAAAAACAGTTCTAATACCCTAATACTCTAAGTTTAGCATGGTCACAGAAACTAATGTGTGCCTATCTAGAAAGGAAGAGAAAGTGTATGGCAGCCTTTCTGATCATTGAGCAGAATGACCACTGTCCCCAGTAGGACATAACTGGAGTGTGAAGAAAAGATCTGAGAGTAATATATGGTATTGAAGGCAAATAGTCCCATTTCATAGTATTCCAAGTCCCAGGTAATTAAGTACATTGGGAATATCTGCTCTGTCACGAATGATCCAACATAAAAAAGTAACTTAGACTATCCATGACAATATTTAGCGTGCTCAGAAAATAAACCTAGCACTTGATACAGCAATTCTGAAGTCAGCTGAATCCTGTTTAATGGGATGTTGCATGCAGAAGTTGTGCCTGTCTAGCAAAAGTACATAAGTAATGTGTCTATCCCAAGTGATCTGGGCAGAGTAAAGGGTAAAGTGTTGTCCCCTTGTATATCTTGTGTTCTGCCATTGGAAAATGGAATTTTGGTAACTTCAAGTAGTCAATGAAGAGCTAAAAGGATGATTGCTTAAGTAGCTCACAAACTGCAGATAAATATTTACTTCTTTCAGGTGTAGCAGGGGATGAGAATATATGCAGGTGCATGCCAGTTAAGATCTTCCATGGTGGAGGGTGAGAGTCCAATTATATGACAAGAATCTATGGAATAAAATGATTTCTGATGGTTAAATGCTAAAGCAGTAACAGAATCCTAATATCACCCCTTAGACTCCTGAAGATTCAATGGCCATAAGATACAATTTGTATCCCCTATCCTTAACCATATGGAGTCAAAGAGAAGAAATGCTTAAGGAATCACTTCTCCTTGCCTCATAATCCCTTTATCAGTACAGGGTGTTGCATTTTTCTGCAGGTGAACTAATTCTTGTGCTAGAACTTCTGTGAAGTTACTTCAAGATGTGAAATGAGCTGAACTAATGATGGTTGTAAGCCTGTGCTTACAGAATTGGATAGGAAGCCCAACATAGTTTTATTTATAGGTGTAACCAAATAACACAAAATGCAAATGGGACATTTTAAAAGGCAATTGAAAGAAGGTGTTAGATAATATGAGAAAAGGACTACTCATGATCCTTTGGTGTACGCATTGTATTAAGCGTGCAACTTCTGCAGCTGAGCATTTGACAGCTATATAAAAACATAAAATCCAAATTCTATCTTTTCAAGCAAAATAAATGCTGATAAACTTCCAGAAATGAAGGGTGTTTTCCTTAGCTACATGCATATATAGCATGTGTGTGTGCAGTAGAGGAAGCTTATACACGATAATCTGAAGTCAGGATGACAGAACTCTGAAGTAAACTGAGAGGTTCTTGAAGATACATTCAAGGACATCATCGAACAATTTCATTATCAAATCTCAGATGCTGTTGAGGAACATGGCAGTGCATTCAGCAGGAGTGTAGCAAGATTCTGAAGGGGGAAAATGAGCTTGAAAATGAATTCTTCTTACTGGGAGTGATCCCATAGGTGGATCCTTCCTTGCTGGTAAATGACCGCATATCCTCTCACATTGAAACCACTCTTTCAGACACGTTTATCTCAGTTTATAGGACAAGGAACACCTGAATTGTAAGTTACGTCACCATCTGACATATAGATTGGTCTATATTAGCACAGAGATTAAAAAGAAAGGCCTCAATCATCAATTTACACTATAATTTTCTTTGGAGAATTTATTAAGCAGTGTCTGCAAAAAAGATATTCTTATGTAGGAAAATCTTATTCAGAAAGTGTTAATTTTATTGTTTTCTTCCTGCTGTATCCTATTCATTAGTGTTTCAGATTCTTTCATTGCTTGAGTTTGTTTGACTTTCTTCTTCATATTTCTTTCAGCCCTTTTATGTATTCCCTGGTGGTTTTGTACAGATGTACATGTATGCTCAATGGTTTAGGCTGCAAATTACAAGACTTAATAAAAGAAGAGTGAAGCCCTGGAATAGTCATCCAGAATAAACAGGAAAGATAAATTAACAAGTTCATTTTAGTTGAAAATTGAGTAGTTTATAGGAAGAGATAGCCAATGTGGTTGCTTACAATAACCAAGGGAACTGATCTCAAGTACCTGAAAGGTCCTTTCCACTTTCATGTTCTTCTATGTGTATAATAGAAAGTTTTAATCTAGATGCTGGGAAAGGAGAGAGACTTTGCAAATTATCTTTTTCATGTTATCTCATTCTGCAGAACATACTGTAGTTATTTATAAATGTGTAACCACCAGCTGCCTTTTCTCACAGGTTTTTTTTCCTCTCAAAAATACACTGATAAGCAGCAAACAGAGGACAACCACAAAACTGCATTTGTAAATAGTTGCTTTCAAAAGCAGTACAACTGGGATATATAAAAAACATGAAAAGCCACTTAATAGGATTTCTTATGAACTTCTGGATTTCATTTTCACTTGCTTTTTATTTTCACAGTGGAGAAAGAGAAGAGAAATGTATAATTGAAGATATTCCCAGGGACACATTGGTAATTGGTAGGTATCTGCCAGTGCTATATGATGTTCTAACCTATGCAATAATAAAGATAGCTTGTAATTTAACAGGAAATTCTGTGATTGATGAATATGATAAAGCTATGGGGATAAAAAAAAGGCACACTGAAAATAATTCCCCACAGCAGACGCTAGTCATAATAACTTCACATATCTTGTGTGTCTATCACACAAACAAATGCAGGTTTCTAGAGTGCTTTACTGACTAGACAAAGAAAAAGAATGTCTTCTAACTCTACAGCAGTGGAATTGATGCTTCAGTGTCTGCTTTTATACAGTCTGACTGATTTCCTCGTTTATACTAGAATTTCTGTATGTTTTTCCACATATGAGTGGGAGATTTACTTTTTTGATTAATGCTGGTGTGGAAAAAAGCAGTTCATGATGTACAAAAGTTCCATTTCACATGGGATAGAACAAGCGCATTAAATTACTGATAAATACGTAAGACCATCTTAAAAATGGAATTTGAATACAGCATACTTATGCTTTTAGAGGTCTTACAGTGCCTTCTGTATACTCTCTTGCCAGAGCATCAGTAGAAGTAATCAGAAAGTATTACTTGTTAATCGACCATTTTTGTAATATTGTAGAACATTTCCTTGTGTAGTAAAAATTTATTGCCTTTCACACGGCTGCAAAGTGCCCCCTGAGTGTTTTTAATCAAAAGCATATGATATATATCTACTACTTTATTGTTAATCATTTATCTTTATATTTTTGCTGAAAAAGCAATAAATATGTTTAATATTAAACTCTGTTTTTATTTAACAGACTTTTGCCTCTGTTTTTATTCAGGGAATTACAAAGTGCAACGTTGGGATGTACAGATCCAAGATTTTCTTGAATCTGCTCCTGGTTTAGGAATGATTGTGACTGTTAAATCTCCTTCTGCTGAGGTAAATATGCTTTATGAATGTTTCTGTATGATTTATGAGTTCACTTTTGGAACTAGCAGGCAACACTATATAAAAATAATAGACAATAGACACTTTTGAGGGAATAGTAGATCTTCAGTCTACCAGCTATTTTGGTATTTTGATGCTGAAAGTTATAAACACCTCTTGATTTCTATCAAGGTAAATAGAAGTAGAAATGTTTGATAATGATGTGGGTGGACAATTTTTGCATTAAGACTGGCTTTGGGAAACCGTCATTAAATATGTGACAACTGAGAAAACAGGGTAAATTACAAAACCCTGAAAATTCATTAATGAAGTAAGGTGGTACAGAATGTACTTAAACAGCAGAAAGGAAAGCTGATAATAAACCACACTGCAAAACTCAAGATTAACATGAGGCTGCATGTAGTTATCCTGCATAGCAACTGCCTGCATTGCTATGAGTTCCCAAGCTTTTTCAACAATGGACAACTTAGATCTGTGTCTAGAGTAAGTCTTAGTTTTCAAATGTTAAGTGCTTTAGGGAGTCTTGGCTTTTGTACCTTGTAGAAATCTATAACATATCGATGTTCATTGTGAGCTGAAATTGTTGATTTTTCTCTAAATCTATTCTGAAATTCATTCTAAATTCTATTCTAAATTTATTCTGAAATTAAAATAAATTTAATGATGTCAGGAGGTTTAATTGAAAACATTTTGCATCCAATTCACAGTACTGGTTTTTGATTGTTTTCTTGACATTTATTATGTACATACCCAACATATATAACATCTAAATTACAGGTACAATTGTCAAAACTGTACGGGCCTCAAGGAACATTTTCTTTTACATCCTACCTTTCTGGGGAGCATTTTATCTGTTTACAGTCTAACTCCACAAGATTTGTGGCACTCGCAGGAAGTAAACTGGTAGGTGATTCCTAAGATATTGATTAGAAACTAAATTAGAAGTTGGTCTAACTTCTAGCAGATAATTTAATGTTTCCTAGTAATTAAAAGACAAACCTAGAATCATGAAGATGTAGAGATAAAAAGACTCTGTTCTGCTATTTAAGAAGTGAAGATGAATGAGGAAAGGCTAATAACTGTAAAGTGGTTTAATGTTTGTACAGTACTTTGAATGTGAAAGATTCTGATTAATAAGAACTATTTGGTTCAAAATATAAGTATGTAAGATTGAGGCAGGCCAAATTTCATCCTAGATGCATGCTTTAGGAATGTGTAGATGACACAAAACCAAGAAGAGTTAACAGTACTGAAGTGGGACTATTACACTGGAATTAGCAGGTGTTCTTATAGGCTGATTTACGGAAATGAATGGAAATTTAATCCTACGCATTGAAAAAGCATTTAGGTTCTAATAATAAAAGAATTTGCAAAGCTCATCAACTAGAGAGACTAAGGGGGATGAAGCATTGGTTGGTCATAGTTAACTACAAGCCATGCATGTTATTCTGAGGATACACAAGATTTTTATCTTGTATAGGTGGAGCTGTATTAAAATAATTGTACATGATTCATGCCTCATGTACAGTTCTGGTCGTTTATTTAAAAGAAGTGAACAGATGTAAGGGAGGAGAACATTAACAGCACAGATATCAAATGGTTTGTTCAGCATAAGGGCATAGAAGTAAAAAAGAAGAACCAGATGCAGTGGTGCTTATCAGAACTGCTTCAAGGTTAAACAAAGGCTACTGTGAGGTTGTGAGATGGATTTCTGGATATTATCATAGAATAGTTAGGGTTGGAAAGGACCTTAAGATCATCAAGTTCCAACCCATATCGAGTTGGCTAACTCTAAGAGAGCTGAGTTCTTCATTTGCAGTTGATTTGTGAGTAGATCAAAATTCTATCGTGGCAATACCAAGCTCTAAGATTTCTGCAGATCATCTGTTTTGCTAAAATGTTTTTATTTTGTCTTAGGTACAAATTGGCTTCTAGGAGAAATTTCTCCTATTTTAGTAAAATTTTTCATTCATGCCAAGCTAAATTGCATAATATTGTGAGCTCCGTTCTCCTCTTTTCTTTCTGTGGGTCTGTTGCTTGGCAGGTTTGGGGCATTTTTCTATAAATTGTAAAATAGTTAACAGGTTATTGGAACGTTTTTCATACCAGATAAACTGTGTGTGAGAAAGAAAAAAAAAAAAAAACTTTATGGATGGTTCTGCTTTAACACCAATGCTACATGCAAATAATGATTCGGCTGGTCTCCAGTCTTATATTCCTGTTAGTGCAGAAAATCTAGAATTGTATCTATAAAAAACTTCCTGCACTACTCCTGAAGAATGTAATTTCTGTATTAGGATGGAATGTGAAACACAAAGAGCACTCCTAATGCTGCTTATTTATTTAACTAGATTGACAAAGAAGAGAAAACATTTTCTTGGTTGTTGAATCAATACTAGCATAAAATAATGCCTTAAAATTAGTGATGACTGTAAATTTATATAATTAATTTAAAAATAAAATTAAGAAACACTTTAAATACCACACCTGATTCTAATTTTAGGAAGGATTTCTGTAAGCAGTTAAAACTGGTTTCCTGTCATGAGCTTAAAGGGAAATTATCCATTGTTTCTTTTTTTCTAAGGAATTTTGAAAGTACACAAGACACAGTAATGAGAACATCTTTTCTGTTCACAGCGTATCCATTTGGACATTAGAGTTGGAGAACATTTTTTGGATGAATCTGTTGTTCAAGCAAAAGACAAAGTGAATGAACTTAACATTATACTAGAACATCTAATTGAGGAAATTAATCACGTATCCAAAGAGCAAAACTATGAAAGAGTATGTATGTTCCCTATTGGAAATGTTAAAAATATTGTACATAGTCTTATTGATTTACAAAGTATTATGAAGTTTATTATTTAATTACAGTGTTATTTTTAACTAACTCATAAAAATCTAGAGGTGTTTAACCAAAATAGCCTACATCGCCTTGCAAAGTATTTCTAAGCTGTAACATAAAAACTAGTCACTGTGAACTCATGCTTATAGCAGCAGGTGTTATTTTCAAGCAGGAATTGCCAAATATGTTTTTCTTAGTGAGAGTCAGTAACAGGATCTGAACAGGTGGCAGGTATTGTTGCTGGTGATGTTGCCAGCTGTTGTTTCCATGCTGGTCCATGTGCATAAGCTTTATTGGAGTGGGCACAAATGACTGAGTGTATACATTTATACATCTCCATGCAGTTAGAAATAAAGCTTTACTTGAAACAAGTGTACATTTATTAGAATCATAGAATCATAGAATAGTTAGGGTTGGAAAGGACCTTAAGATCATCAAGTTCCAACCCCCTCTGCTGCCATGGGCAGGGACACCTCACACTAAACCATCTCACCCAAGGCTTCCTCCAACCTGGCCTTGAACACTGCCAGGGATGGAGCATTCATAACCTCCCTGGGCAACCCATTCCAGTGTGTCGCCACCCTAACAGGAAAGAATTTCCTCCTCTCCAATCTAAACTTCCCCTGTTGAAGTTTGGACCCGTTACCCCTTGTCCTATCACCACAGTCCTAATGAAGAGTCCCTCCCCAGCATCCCTATAGGCCCCCTTCAGATACTGGAATGCTGCTATGAGGTCTCCAAGCAAGGCTCTGTCCAACCTGGCCTTGAACACTGCCAGGGATGGAGAATTCACAACCTCCCTGGACAACCTATTCCAGTGCCTCACCACCCTAACAGGAAAGAATTTCCTTCTTATATCCAAACTAAACTTCCCCTGTTTAAGTTTTAACCTGTTACCCCTTGTCCTGTCACTACAGTCTCTAATGAAGAGTCCCTCCCCAGCATCTCTATAGGACCCCTTCAGATACTGGAAGGCTGCTATGAGGTCTCCAAGCAGCCTTCTCTTCTCCAGCTGAACAGCCCCAACTTCCTCAGCCTGTCTTCATATGGGAGGTGCTCCAGGCCCCTGATCATCCTTGTGGCATCCTCTGGACTTGTTCCAACAGTTCCATGTCCTTTTTTATGCTGAGGACACCAGAACTGCACACAATACTCCAGGTGAGGTCTCACAAGAGCAGAGTAGAGGGGCAGAATCACCTCCTTCGACCTGCTGGTCACAATCCTTTTGATGCAGCCCAGGATATGGGTGGCTTTCTGAGCTGCAAGCGCACACTGCTGGCTCATGTTCATTTTCACTTTCCTATAGGTATGCAGGCTGTCAGACTGTGTTTGAAGTACATCAACTAATTACCTAAAGAAAGAAATTTGGCTGCAAAAAGGTTCTTGACTGCAATATGGAAGTGTCAGTAAATCTAAAAAGGCTTAAACTGCGCTAACGGAACACATTTAGCACAGTGTGTCTTCTGTGAAGAAGGGAAAGCTCTGTTTGCCTTTCTGCTTCAGGATACAATGTCTGCTTCTCATTTTTTTTTATTTCAAAGATATGGCCGCACGCAAAGAGTTGTGGTCAATGGCTCAATGTCCGGCTGGAGACCAGTAACGAGTGGCGTCCCTCAGGGATCGGTGTTGGGACCGGTCTTGTTCAACATATTTGTCGCTGACATGGACAGTGGGATTGAGTGCACCCTCAGCAAGTTTGCCGATGACACCAAGCTGTGTGGTTCGGTTGATACCCTGGAGGGAAGGAATGCCATCCAGAGGGACCTTGACACACTTGTGAGGTGGGCTGATGCCAACCTCATGAAGTTTAACCATGCCAAGTGCAAGGTCCTACAGCTGGGTCGGAGCAATCCCAGGCACAGCTACAGGTTGGGCAGAGAAGAGATTCAGAGCAGCCCTGCAGAGAAGGACTTGGAGGTGTTGGTTGATGAGAAAATGAACATGAGCCGGCTTCGGTGTGCGCTTGCAGCCCAGAAAGCCAACCGTATCCTGGGCTGCATCAAAAGGAGCGTGACCAGCAGGTCGAAGGAGGTGATCCTGCGCTCTACTCTGCTTTCGTGATACCTCACCTGGAGTATTGTGTGCAGTTCTGGTGTCCCCAACATAAAAAGGACATATAACTGTTGGAACAAATCCAGAGAAGGGCCACGAGGATGATCAGGGGACTGGAGCACCTCCCGTATGAAGACAGGCTGGGGAAGTTGGGGCTGTTCAGCTGGAGAAGAGAAGGCTGCTTGGAGACCTCATAGCAGCCTTCCAGTATCTGAAGGGGGCCTATAGAGACGCTGGGGAGGGACTCTTCATTAGAGACTGTAGTGAGAGGACAAGGGGTAACAGGTTAAAACTTAAACAGGGGAAGTTTAGGTTGGATATAAGAAGGAAATTCTTTCCTGTTAGGGTGGTGAGGCACTGGAATAGGTTGTCCAGGGAGGTTGTGAATTCTCCACCCCTGGCAGTGTTCAAGGCCAGGTTGTACAGAGCCTTGGGTGATATGATTTAGCATAAGTTGTCCCTGCCCATGGCAGGGGGTTTGGAACTGGATGATCTTAAGGTCCTTTCCAACCCTAACTATTCTATGATTCTATGATTCTATACCCACCCTCTGGATAAGAACAAACTTTCATTTTTATCAACATGAAAAAAGTGTTTGTTCACTACTGTGCAGAAGAGGGTTGCCTGTCTAGTTACCTGCACAGCAGCATGAAACATACAGATGCCAAAAGGTAACTATTATGCTTTTCTTTTTTTTTTAGGAGCGTGAAGAAAAATTTCGGAAGACAAGTGAAGGAACCAACAGTAATATTGTTTGGTGGGCTATTGTACAAACACTGATCCTCATCTCCATTGGAATCTGGCAAATCAAATCACTCAGAGATTTCTTTATCTCTAAGAAGCTTGTTTAAGTCTTATAAAGTAAATGCCCAGGTTCAAAAACTGCACGCCATGTAACACAATGTATAAAAAAACCTCCTATGAGAAAATTGGTTGTATATAACTTTCAAGCTTCTCTAACTCTGCTTTCTCCATTTATATTACAACCACTGACATCCCCTTACATTTTATTCCTTGAATCCCATGCTTTATCACTTCCCCCCCCCCCCCCCCGAGGTAAAGTTAAATGTAAAAGAACTCAGTGACTAAGGCAGTGACTTAAGTTCAAAGCAGGATTGTTATATCTAAAACAAAAATAAATAAAAGAAACCCAAACTTAATATTTTGAGTTTTTCTACTTGCTAAGTAATCTTATGCGATACTACCATAAACAGTTCAGCATTTCAGACTGACTGAGGTTCAGACAGTAGGCAGAGAAACAACTGTGTTCCCTGCTGTGCTTAATTTGCTGTCAGTGTCTTGAAGTCCACCTAGCTGTAACACCTACCTTTTCCTCAAATATAATTGTGAATGTTTTCTTCTAAAATATTCAAAGTTTTCAGTGACAGGGGAGCCCACCCTTAAGATTATGACCAGCAGCTGCAGCAATTACCACGGAAGAGAGAGACCCACACAAACACTTCGGAATTTCACTTCCTTTTTACTTTCAGATAAACCCTAAACATTAGGCTATAGAGTTGAGATCAGACCTTGCCCACAGTTGTTTATGTAAGTTATGGTATTTATGAAGTAAAGTCAAATCATAGATTTCTTAATAAACACTGAATTTGTGACTATATTTTTTATTTTATTACTATACTGAATTCCTCAGTCTGTTTCTGTGTTGGAGAATTATTTCTATTTTAATTATTCAGCAATCATATGATGACTGTCTAAGGAGCTTTCCAGTTTTTGACTTAATCATGTATTTACATTTCACTTACTGCAACTTTGTTGACTATTTCTTTAGGCCTTAATTTAGATAGTTTATGTACAACTAGCAGAACAAGCTACAGTATCATGTAATTAAAAGTCAAAAGCTATGGTTAATAACTCAGATAAAACACCAGAAGTGTAAGAAGGAGCTAGAGGTGGTTATAACATCACCCACCTCAGCACTTGATTAAAATATAATTAACTTGAAAAAGTTTCTTGATAGCGCTGTGATAGTAGAATATTGTGGTTTGGCATCCTACTTCTCTTTCCAGACCCTTCACTAATTTAAAAGGTAGTAAAAGCTGAGATATCTCTAGACCAATTATTGTTTCAAAGGCACTGCTTTTTTTTTCTGTTTTCTACCTTCTCACCTTTTGTTTTCATTAGCAAGGAAATGACATTGCCCTTTAAGTTCACTTACATTTCCATCATGAGAATTAAAGTGCATCTGTGTGTATGTGAGAATCCATAAAGCTGATAAGAAGTAGAGACAAAAGACAATGCTCTACGGACCGCATCAATCAAAATTAAATCTCATAAAGCTACTCACTGAGGTGTGTCCTAGATTTAAGAATTCTAAGACTTTAGAGTTGTCACTTGAAATGCCCTTGAAATAAGTGTTATTAAATTGAAATAAGTGTTATTAAATTCACTTTTGTAGAGCACTCACACAGAATATGTCTTGTAATAACATCTTTGCTGCTGGGAAAGATGGAAAGATGTGTTAAAACTATATGGTATATGAAGACAATAAAGAAAGCTTAATAAAGGTTTGCTACAAGGTTGTGGTTCAGAATTTAGCTGATATTTAGTATAACTACATAGAATCATAGTATAGTTAGGGTTGGAAAGGACCTTAAGATCATCCAGTTCCAACCCCCTGCCATGGGCAGGGACACCTCACACTAAACCATGTCACCCAAGGCTCTGTCCAACCTGGCCTTGAACACCGCCAGGGATGAAACATTCACAATTTCCCTGGGCAGCCCATTCCAGTGCATCGCCACCCTTACAGTAAAGAACATCTAACTACATCCCAATGACAAACTTTTCTCACTTAAAATGCACTTAAGCTTTAAATCAAAAGGACAGGCACCATGTCAGAATCTATAAAGGAGCTGATTATGTTCCTCTATATTAATTAAGTCTATACTCAAACAAGACTGAGACTTGGAGCCTCGACTATAGCTTGAAAGCACTGCATTTTTTATCTACAATAATAATTAAATATCTTTGCTTTGATGAAATGCTTTCAGTCTCCTTCAAGATTTTTAATTAACTCTATAAAGTAGGAGCTGATTCATAGCTGTTTTGGGAAGCACTTTGGGGTCAGTATTCTTTATGCACTTAAAAGCCGAAGGTTGCTCCTGTGCAGTCTGTGTCTGTTGTACCCAGAGCTACAGCCTGCACTGCAAGTAGATCTGTAAGGGAATTTTCCCATAAAATTTTCATCAAGGGAAATTAGCAAGCCCTGGGGTTTTTTACAGTCTAAGAAATTAATCTCAAACCTCCTTGTTTTGCTCTTTTTCCTCACTCAAAGAAGCAACAAGAAACCTGTGACAGTAGATTAATAATAGTCACAGTGCCCGGAGAAGGCTGTGTGGAGACCCCAGAGCAGCTTCCAGTATCTGAAGGGGGCCTACAAAGGATGCTGAAGAGGGACTCTTCATCAGGGACTGTAGCAATAGGACAAGAGGTGATGGGTTCAAGCTTAAAACAGATTTAGGTTACATAAAAGAAAGAAGTTCTTTACTGTGAGGGTGCTGAGGCGCTGGCACAGGGTGCCCAGAGAAGCTGTGGCTGCCCCATCCCTGGCAGTGTTCAAGGCCAGGTTGGACACAGGGGCTTGGAGCAAGCTGCTCTAGTGGAAGGTGTCCCTGCCCGTGGCATGTGGGTGGAACTGGATGAGTTTAAGGTTGTTTCCAACCCCAGCCTGTGCTCCTATGATTCCTGTGTTTAAGAGAGTGAAAAAGCACTGCTGTTTTCCACACACCTGCTGTCCTGTCAGCAGCCCCTGCTGCATAGGTGCCCCTGTGAGGAGGACAGAGCTCATGGGGAAGCCCCTGCCCAGAGCCCTGAATGCTGGTTGACCTCAGGTGCTCACGTTTGGGGAAGAGAAGGGGAAATCTCTCAGAGAGGATTCCCTGCATGGGCACTCTCTCTGGTTTGGTAGTGAAGGGCCAGAGAGCCTCATTTATGGGGGTGTGAGGGTCAAACCCTGCTGACAGCAGGCACCTGTGCGGTGGGAGGGGCACCACCACCCCTCACTTCAGTGCCTGGAGGAGCCTCGGGAGGAGGAACATGGTGGCCGGAGGCCTGTAGGCCTTACCCCAGCACCTGCCTCAGCTGCCGGCTCCCTGCCGTGCCCTCCTGCCCCTGCACCCCATGTCTGTCGCCGTGTTCTGCAATGTCTGCTTCTGTGAGCCCCGCAAGCCCACCCCACAGTTCAGCCTCACGAGCTGTGGGCATGTTATCTGTGAGATCTGCCTCCAGAAAGGTAATGGCTACTGCAGGCAGGGCGGCTTGGCCCTCTGCTTCAGCTGCTGGTGTGTACACGTTTACTTTGACCATTAGCATTCCTGAATCACTGTGGAAAACAGACAGGCCTGGGCATTTCTGTTTGTCAATTGAATGTTACTGATAAACATTTGCAGTTCTTGTCACTGATTTTCTTTCAAAGGTAAAAACCAGCTGTGTCTGCTCTAGAGGGATTTGACTGGAGCGATGAAGCTTTTAGACACAGAAAACTGGAGGCTTTAATAAAAGTTGAGTCTGAGTGCTAATGATGCATGATTGTACTGTAAAAAAAAAACAAAATATGGCATTCTGTTCAGTCTCATTTTGGAAAGAAAATGATTTTTCATTACTGAAAGAGCAATTTGCAAAGCAGGATTTGTTTAGGGCAGGTTTTGTTAAGGGTCTCAAGTCATTGTATATCTCAGCATTGTCACTGATACAGTTTCAGTGTTTCAGTGACACAAACAGAACATTTTCAGCAGTGTTAAGAGGATTAGAAATGATGTTTTGAAACTCTTGTGTGCTGTACGCAATTCCTGGGCCATATTCTGGGACTCCTGTGATGTGTTTAGATGAAGAGCTATGGAAAAGATAGCAGAATAAAGGAGTTGCTTTTCAAAACAAAAAAGTAGCAGACAAATAGCAATATTCTTCCCTTGTGGCCATGCTAAACACTCTGGGGTTTATTTTTAATAGCACACAGGATAAAATCACTCTGTATTTCAGAAAACTTTCAGACTGAAAATTTTCATAGGGTTACTGTTAAGGAGAGAAAATCATAGAATCATAGAATAGTTAGGGTTGGAAAGTACATAAGATCATCTAGTTCCAATCCCCCTGCCATGGGCATGGACACCTCATACTAAAATGCATATCATATCATAAAATATGCATATCATAAAATGCACTCTCTAAATGCAACTTTCAGGATCCTAGAACGTGAACACCAGCTTTTCTTTCTGCTTTTTATATTGTTTAACAGGAAAAGATCCCTGAGATATATTTTCTTTTGCTCTGAATTCAATAATATTGATAATATCACATTTTAAATGTATTTACTCTTTAAAGATGCTTATAAACATTGATCCTTAGAATTCTTAGAAAAGAAGCAGCTGGTATAATTATCAATTATAATTATTGTAGTAATATGCATTTGCTAGGAATATCTGTTAATATGTTTGCAAATAATCAAAGAGGCATTTTAAAAAATTATAAAGTTTTAAAAAGTTATTTGATGATTTTTTTTTGCTGGAAAATTTCACCATGTAAAATTATTAATTCTTAGAAATTAAGTTTTCGTGTAGTTTGTTGAGAGAGCCAGACTGGGTCCCAATCTAAAGCCACATATCTGGTTGCATTATTAGTGCATTTAAGCATGCATTTAATTAGGAGACAAGTAGTCCTTTTTAAATCAACAAAACTGAAAGTCACCTGCATTCACTGATACTAATTATATTCATAAAAGCATTTACATGAATGCTTCTTTGCAAGAGTAAGACCTGGTGACATTCACGCACACTGTTCAGATGCAACAGTGTGTAGTGGTTATGGAGGTAAATTCTTTATTCAGGCTTATTTGTATTTTTTGTATAACTTCCAGATTCCTTCCACAGTCTCCAAAGGAAAGTTTAGGCATCACATTCTATTAAAAATGTATTCAATATCGATTCAGTTTGATGTATATTTTAAATTTGCCTTTACCTTGCAGGCAAAAAAGATGAATGTTTGATCTGTAGAACTCCTTGTCGTACATTAGTCCTTTCAAAACA